TGAGCCACCGGTGCCTGGCTGGACTTTTCTTTTTTTAAGCATGTAATTCAATGGCAATTAGAATTCACGGTGCTGTTATACTACAATCTCTATGGAGTTCCAAAACATTTCTATCACTTTCCAAGGAGACCCTATACCCATGAAGCACTCCCTTCTCTATGGATATTTTACATATTTCTCTATGGATATTTTACATATTTAGGATTTTACATATTTAGGATATTTACATAAATGGAGTCATACAGTATATGACCTGTTGTGAATGTTTTTTTAGGGATTTGACACTATGATTTATTTTTGAGTTTGGTCCACAACACAGAGTTGTAGCCATACTTCATTCCTTATTAATGACTGAATAACATTCTACCTTACAATTATACCACAGGTGTGTATTGATGGACATTCAAATTCTTCCTACCTTGTAGCTATTGTGAATAAAGTTCTATGAGTCTGGCTGTAGAGTTATCTCTGATTCCTGCTTCTTTTTGGGGAACATGTACCCAGAAGTGGCATTGCTGGGTACCATTATGGTAGTGGACCACCATCCTGCCTTACATGGTGGCTATAATTATTTTACATTTCTACTTGCAATGCTCCTGGGCTGCAATTTCTCCACATCCTCACGGATAGTTCTAGAACCAACTCAGTGGGTGTGAAGTGGTTTTGACTTGTATTTCCCTAATGACTAGGGGTGTTGAGCACCTTTATATGAGCTTGTTGGTCATTTGTTTATCTTGGGATAAATGGCTATTCCAATCCCTTGTTCTTTTGTTTTTTAAAGTAGGATTATCAATTTTTGTTACAATGTTTTACTTAGAAACAATTTCAAACTTACAGAAAACTGTAAGATAATACAAAGAAAAAATATAATACAAAATAACCCATTTAACCTCTATTTCAATTCATGCATTATTAATGTTCTCCTCACCAGATGTGGTAACACCCAGTCTCTGAACTTAACATTTGGGAGAGGGAGGCAGGAGGATCCTAAACTTGCCACCAGTCTGTGTAGTGAGACTCTGTCTCAAAAAAAAAATCCTGTGAAGCCAAGCAGCAGTGATTCAGTACTGTAATCCTAGCTACTCAGGAGGCTGAGATCTGAGGATCAAGGGTTGAAAGCAGCCCAGGCAGGGAAGTCTAGGAGACTCTTATTTCCAATTAACAAGCAATAAACTGAAAGTGGAAGTATGGCTCATGAGGTAGAATGCCAGCCTTAATCAAAAAAGCTAAGGGACAGCAGCTAGGCCCTTAGTTCAAGCTCCAGTACAGACAAACTCCAGTAGAGCACATACACCCACTCTAAACAAAAGGAGGATTACAGATATGAGCCACCAGCACTTGGTGGCTTATACCTTTTCTTCCTTCCTTCCTTCCTTCTTTCCTTCCTTCTCTCTCTCTCTCTCTCTCTTTCTACTTGTGACATTTTTTCTATTACCTTTTGTGAGAGCCAGTCTCTTGCCTCATGGCCTCTGTCTGCTTTCCATTTTTTTTTTGTCAGTTGTGGGGCTTGAACTCTGGGACTGGGCACTGTCCTTGAGCTCTTCAGCTCAAGGCAAGTGCTCTACCACATGAGCCACAGCACCACTTCCAGTTTTCTAATGGTTAATTGGAAATAATAGTCTCACAGACTTTCCTTGCCAGGGCTGGATTTGAACCTTGATCCTCAGATTTCAGCCTCCTGAGTAGCTAGGATTACAGGTGTGAACCACTGGTTCACTGGTACCTGGCTCTGCTTTCCAATTTTTCTGTTTATGTGGTACTGAGGAATTGAACCCAGGGCACCATGCATGCTAGGCAAGCACATTCTCAGCTTGTGATGTTTTCTTATGATTGGATTCAGTGATGCATTTCTAGCCAGAGCCCTGTACTGTGATACGTGCAGATTCACATCTGGAACATTCTGCCCCATAAATGGTTGTCTCTGTCCCTCCATCAGGGCATCTGGCCCTGCTGTTGAGCTCTCTGTTGTATACTTACTCTATTTCCCCTTGCTAGTCATAAGCAAGCTGTAAAGAGACACATAGCTTATGCCATTATCCTGCCCCTCCTCAAACAATTCCCTAGACTCAGCGCCAGTGGTTGAAGCTCATACAAGGCTGTCTCCATGAAGCCAGCCCCTCCTGCTACCCATTTCTCCAGCAAGGCATTGGTTGCTGGGCAGACACCAGCCTTCCCTCATTACCTAGTCCAATACTGCTCCCCTGGCCAAACCCCAGACTTCTGGTCTAAGCCAGGTTCAAGGCTCTGGCTCACACATAGCCCCTGACCTCTGCTTGGGGAGCCAGGCCAGCTTGGTGTGAGCAGGGCTTGGGTTCCATTCATCATTTTTCCTGTAGGGGCTGCTTATAGATACAAACTAGATGGTGCTGGGCACTGGTGGCTCATGCTTGTAATCCTAGCTACTCAGGAGGCTGAGAGCTGAGGGTCGAAGTTCAAAACCAGCCCAGGCAGGAAAGTCCGTGAGACTCTTATCTCCAATTAACCACCAAAAAACCGGAAGTGGCACAGTGGCTCAAGTGGTAGAGTGCTCGCCTTGAGCTGAAGAGCTGAGGGACAGCACCCAGGCCCAGAGGTCAAGCCCCATGACCCACAAAAAAAATGCCCACAAACAAACAAACAAACAAAAAACAAACTAGATTGTCCAGTCACCAGCACCAGGACCCTGGTTCCCCCAGCAGGCCTGGGAGGCTGAGTATGGTGTAACCTTCGTGAGGCTGTGGTGTGCTTAGTAGGAACCTGTGATAAGATGCTTAACAGGCTCTGAGGTCAGAGGGCCGGAAGCCCAGAGGAAGTGCCTTGGTGGGGTACTGGTGTGTGCTTTCCTCAAGCCCATTCAAGACTGTTGCTGCAGCTGCTATAGCTGGAGATGATGTCTGCAGCGTGCCCCAGTCCTGGGCCACAAGGGCCCCAGGACCAGTCCATGGGTCCAGAGGGGCACTTTGGGGCTCTGGCCTCAGGTCAGTGTTCCTTGGTGTCCAGCCCTTCCCCCTGGAGTCTGCCCCGGTGGAGAGCATATGTGGCCGCCGTGGTTCTTTGTTACATCAACCTCCTGAACTACATGAACTGGTTCATTATCGCAGGTGAGGAGGGGCCTGTGGGTCACTGCCCCACTGCTGCAAGGTGCAGCTGTGCTGGACTCTTGCTGAGCACTCTTTCTACTCATGGAGCACTTTCTCTGAGAGGTGGTTTTCAGCCACAATGAGCGGCCCTAAACTAAGAAGGGGCACAGGGAATAGTTGCCCCCAAACCAGGAAATAATTCCCCAAGTAATCTCCATGTACTCTTTTTCTTTCCTTCCTTCCTTCCCCTTCCTTCCTTCTTTCTTCCTTCCCTCCTTATTATTATTATTTTTTTTAGTTGGTCAGTTGGTCATAGTGCTTGAACTCTGGGCCCAGTTGCTGTCCCTCAGCTCTTCAGTTCAAGGCAAGCACTCTACCACTTGAGCCACAGTGCCACGTCCAGTTTTTCTGGTGGTTAATTGGAGATAAGAGTCTCATGGACTGGGCTGGGAAGGTGCCTCAGTAGCAGAGTGCTTGCCTTGTATGCATAAGGCCCTGGTTTTCATTTCTCAGCACCACATAAGCTGAAAAAACTGGAAGTGGCACTGTGGCTCAAGTGGTAGAACGCTAGCCTTGAGCTGAAGAGCTGAAGGACTGCA